TAAGAGGCATTTTACAATGTGCAAGACACCACAACAGAATGGTGTTGCAAAACGGATGAACAGGTCGTTGAATGAAAGAGCTAGATGTTTGCGGTTGAATGCGAGGCTTCCCAAACACTTCTGGGCTAAGGCTGTTAACATGGCGTGTTATCTTATCAATAGATCGCCAAAGGCATCATTGGCAGGGAAAGTTGCAGAAGAGGTATGGACTGGTAATGATGTTACTTTTGATCATTTAAGGATTTCTGGTTACCCTGCTTATGTGCATGTACCTACTGATGAGAGATCCAAACTTGATGCAAAATCGAAGGAGTGCATTTTCTGGGTTACAAAAAAAGTGTCAAAGGATTCAAGTTCTGGGATCCAGTTGCGAAGAAAATTGTAATCAGTAAAGATGTTGTTTTTTATGAACAACCCATGTTGCAGCAGAAGAAAGACACAACAGTGGTGGATTTCGAGTAGTTTCTAGTTAAGAAAACAGAAACTTCTCAACCGACTTCTGATGGTTCCATTACGATTGATTTATAGGATTATAGTCTCGCCAGAGACAGGGTGAGACGGACAAATATAAAGCCTCCGAACAGATTGGGTTTTAAAAACTTGGTCTCTTTTGCACTTACTGTTAACAGTGATGATTCGATTACTTTTCATGATGTTGTTACTAGTCAGGAAAATGACAAGTGGATGGCTGCCATGGTTGAGGAGATGGAGTCTTTGAATCACAATCGCACAGGAGAGTTAGTTCACCTTCCTGAGGGTAAGAAGCCTATTAGTTGCAAATGAGTGTATAAGAAGAAACCAACAGTAACAGAAAAAGGGGGGAGAAGTTCAAGGCTCGTTTGGTAATAAAGGGTTTTTCACAGCAGAAAAGAGTTGATTATGATAAAAAAAATTCTCCCGTGGTCCGACACACTTCAACCCGAGCAGTACTTGCATTTGTGGCTAATTGGGATTTGCATTTAGAGCAGATGGATGTGAAAACTGCTTTTTGCATGGTGATTTAAAGGAGGAGATCTACATGCAGCAGCCTGAAGGTTTCACTCAATCTGGAAATGAGCATTTAGTTTGCAGATTGAAGAAATCTTTGTACGGGTTGAAACAATCTCCGAGACAATGGTACAAACGGTTTAACTCTTATATGATCAAGATTGACTATAAGCGATGTGAGTATGATTGTTGTGTTTATGTTAAGAGCCTTGATGATGGTTCTTTTATTTTTTCTGTTACTGTATATTGATGATATGTTAATTACTGCGAAGAACATGGATGATGTTATCGGTTTGAAAACTTTATTGAGTCAGGAATTTGATATGAAAGATTTAGGTGCTGCAAAGAAAATTCTCGGAATGGAAATTTACAGGGACAGAGACTCAAGGAAACTGTGGCTATCTCAATGGGGTTATGTTGAGAAAAGGCTAGAAAGGTTTGCGATGAGCAGCGCAAAACCAATTAGCACTCCATTGGCGAATCACTTTAAGCACTCATCATAATAGTGCCCTAAGACAGATAAGGAAGCTGAAGATATGACTTTACTCTTGGTGAAGGGCCTATTTGTTGGAAGTATACTATTCAATCTGTTGTGGAATTATCTATGTGGAATTATCTACAACTGAAGCTGAATACATGGCAGCGGCTGAAGCTGTAAAAGAAGTTTTATGACTTACTGGTTTAGTGAAGGAGTTGGGTGTTTAACAAGGTGGAGTTCAGTTGCTTTGTGACAATCAAAGTACTATTTACTTAGCTAAGAATCAAGTATATCGTTCTAGAACTAAGCATATTGATGTAAGGTTTCACAAGATCAAAGAGTTGGTTGCATCTGGAGAGATTTTGTTTTAGAAGGTACACACTGATGAGAATGACGCTGATATGTTCACCAAGCCAGTTACGACCGACAAGTTCATGCATTGCTTGGACTTGTTGAGTGTTTCGAGTTGTTAAAGAAGTAAGGTAACCCAACCCACATTGAACGTTTCCTAAGGGGTAGGATATTCACCAAGGTGGAGATTTGTTTAGGTATGGCTCATAAATATATCGAGAAAGTCTCATAGTGGGGGTTACGATTATATGGGTTAGGGGTGCAGGGGACTGCGGCCCCGAAGTATGGTACAGTGTTATTTTTGTAAATATGTATCATGGCTTATTTTATTATAAAAGGAGATGTAACCTAAACCTATGAGACATTGAATTAAATAAAAATTCTAGCGCCGCCTAAGGCACCGAAGACGTAAGCACATTGTTGAACCTCGTTAAAATTCTTGTGTTCTTTTTGTTTTCTTTACCTGATTATTCAACACTACCTATATGAGAAAAAAATAGATAGTCTAGGAGACAGAATGAGAGTATTTCTAGTAAATCCAAAACTGTTAACCTAGGAAAATATGAGGTAACAAAGATGAGGAATACCAACCGACCAAATTGAAGCCAATTTGAAGTTTGTATCATACTCATATTGTATTCAATACTTTTTACATAATTTTTTTAAATATTTTAAATTCATCCTCAAACTATGACTTATTTTAAATTGGTCTCTAAATTTTTGAACATTCTAATTTTATCTTTGTCGAGTCAATTGATCAAAGAATGTGACCAAGAGGGAGTGAATTGTCAATAAAAAATTATTGGAAGATTTATAAGAAATAAGAAAATTGATACAATACTACTAGAAAAAACCCCTTTAATGACGCGCATTGCGCGTCATCTATGGGTGTAGATGATACACAAATGCGCGTCATTGAAGCCACCGACATAAATCTCAGATGACACGTAATTGTGTGTCATAAATCTATGATTCGCATATTTATGACACGCATTTATGACGCACATTGCACGTCATTGAAGCCCCCGTCATAAATGAAGATGACACACATTTGTGTGTCATAAATTTATGACTCGTATTTATGACTTACATTTTGTGTCATTGAAGCAAATGTCATTAAAAAAGATGATACACATTCGTGTGTCGTGATTGTATGTCGTAAATTATATATATATATATATATATATATATATATATATATATATATATATTGTAAATGACAAATAATCAAACTAAATCACATTTAATGCCTCATAATACTAAATATATATATATATATCATATTATATATAAACAATCCATTTGCATACAATATATTAACATTAAGTTATAAAAAATATTGTAATCATATGTCGATACAAAATATCACGGCACAATAAAGTTTGCCACATAAGATACCCATTCTTTGTGAATATCATCAATGTCATCATCCGTGTATTCTTCATTCCCATCGCCAACCTAAATAAAAAATATGAAATAAGTATATAATTTATACTTATTTAAAGTGAAATATATAACTATCATAGAGTACTAAAATGACCAATTTTACATATGCATTCTTTGAAGCATATGTAAAAATAAATTTTACACATTTAATTATTAAAACTTTCCATATAAATTATATATATTATCACGACACAAATTCACAGTTTTCAGTCTTGCTAACAAGTACTTGCATTAATTTGTTTAGAATAACATCCTACTTCAAGTCCATATGACAGTTGTATGACTAATGTGTATGTATGATATGACAGGTGTGTATCAGAAAAGTTTGCTTACATTCTTATTGACCAATACTTCACGTTCGTTCTCGATTATCTCTTTCATGAACTTACAAACATAATATCCACACTCAGTACCTCCCGACTGACAGGGACACTACAAATTCAAGGATTGATTATTAGATTTAAAAGATTTGTCCAATGTATACAAATAGGAAAATGGAAGAAATTTAGATAGCAATAACACACAATAAGAAGGTAATCATCAGAAACTTAGAATCACAGAGGTTCAAAAGAACTTACAATGTCAAAGATATTAAACAGAAAAACAAAAAAACACATATATTGAATTATAAATCCATGGTTCTGCTCTAATAAATGTTTCAGGGTTCAATATCTCCTTAACATGCTCCCAAAATGGTGAACCAAGGATACTACCAATAATGCAATGTGTTAAGATCATTTTGGGCATTCAAAAAAAAGATAGCTTTAAGGTAAGTCTGTAGGATAAGACAAACAACAAACCCAAGATATGTAATGCATCAAAAGAATATTGCCCTAAAAATGCGAATAGAACAGAGGATTCAAAAATAAGTTTTTAAATCACTTCAGGGCATAATTACCTTGCTACAATACTTGGAAAAGCCAATAGATAAGTGGTAGTGAGAACAGGTTGCATTCCTGATGGATTAATATTAAAATGAATATAGGGTTCTACTTCAGTGATCAGGGTATCTTCCCTGTCCAACACACAAACAAAGAAAATACGACATTGAGAAAGAACATATATCCATTATTATAAGTTAATAAACAAACACTGAAAGTTACAAATCTCCTTAAATGAATTCAACAATAGTCCTAGTTCACATAAAATTAGTTACTGTTCCCTGCTCGGATTAGCCATGAACTGTATTATCTATGCTGCACAAAGAAGAATTGAAACCAAAGCCTATGTCTCTCCACCAAATGCATCTAATGTCTAGGTAAGTAGCACTGACTTTACCTTGCAGCAGATGCTAGTTTAAACCCATAGTACTGCAACTTTATTTTCCTGCAACCCTCAGTTACAACAACTGCCCACATGGTGACCTTGCACAATCAGAATTTTAGATTGAACAACTAAAGCATCTTGAAGCCTATATATAGTTTTTACATCTAATACCATTATATAGTAAGTAAACTCGTTATTTATACACATAATACCATCATAAGTACTTAAGAAAGCTAAAGCTAATTTGATGATCAGATTCAGGACAGTTTAAGACAAACTTGTGGATTATTGTATCGATTTTTCAGTCATTATTTGAGCTTGGAGATTGACAAAGACATAAGGATGTTTAGCTGAGTTTGAAGAGTTTTAAGCGTTTATTCTTTGGCTCACGTCACCTTTCTTTGCATCCTTAGATTAAAATAAATTAAAAACATAAAGAGAGATAGATTGTAATTAAACTTGCAATACCTGCAACTAGAGTATATCGCCAGCCCCAACTTTAGAGGCATTGTATGATTACGAGAACCAGTTGGTAGAACAACCACCCAACTGCAAGCAATGCATTAATGAGAAGATACACAATTTGTTTAGAGAAAGAAAATGTTACTGATTGGAAGCAAATTAAGGTTTACATTAATAGGAATCATCAAGGCATATTGCTTCTATGGCATAACGCAACAAACAAGCAAAAATCAATCAAAATAAAAAAACATTTCGTACACAAATACTCACACTTTTCTTGAAACTAATTGAGGAACAAAGATTTCGATGAATCCTGGCCCATAAAATTCTCGTATCCAACCAGAGAACAAACATATGTGCTCCTACAGAGTATCAAAAAAAAGAAAAGATAAATGTAATTCAAAGTTGTGAGAAGGTTTTACAATAAAGAGAATTATCAAAGATAAACTTCAAATTATACCTCGATAGCTCGCACAACATTGATGTTACCTTTCGTCCTAGCAACATCTAGAGGCGTTTGACAATCATCATTCATTGCCAATGGATTAGCTGAAAATATAAACAAGTCACTCAGAAGACAACGCTATACAGTTCAAATAAATCATTTTTGGGTATAGGAACTAATAACTCGGTTTTCGCTAACCTCCATGGGAAAGAAGTAATTTGACTGTATTTAGAAGGCCCCTCTTTGCTGCATGGTGCAAGGGAGTCCTACCATGCCGACCTAAACACAAATTAGAATACCAAAACCAAAATCATTTCATAAATTATTTACTTCAACAAAGTTCCCCAAAGCTTCTTTACTTGGACAACTGTAAATTTCTTCCTCCTTAAACCAACATCATTAATGGTAACGAGAAAATCCCCAAAGATTTTGGTGACTCTATACGTGCTTTGGTTTGCTCATAACAAATCTATTCACTAAGGCATTAACACAAGAAGTGAAGAGATGCTCACCTCAATAAAAAGCCAATGTTCAGATTTTGAGAAAGCAAACATCCGTCTTCGTGGTACAAACGGGAGTTCAGTTAGCGGTTGGATTCCACCTCCACCCATAATTGTTAAAGCGAATTTTGATGCGGGTTTTTCTCATCATAAACAAGAATCAGTGTTAGGGGTATTAATAAGATATGAAGGGGGCTTTATCATGGGGGCTTACCAAAGAACAAATCAGAACGTTACCTAGGGTTTTATGGCAGAGGCGATAACAACAAAATAGGTGATGGATTTCGCATGGGATATAGGTTTCTATAGAATCATAGTGGAGGGCGATTTGAGGTCTGTTATAAGCAAGTTATCCTCCAAAGATAAAGATTTTTTAGAGATCAACACCTGGTTTAAAGATACAAAAAGGAAAGTAGAAGTTTTTCAAACATGCAAGTTTAGCTTCATATCTAGATCGGGCAATAGACCAACTCATTTAATGGTGACTGTGATAGAGGTAGGAGATGAAGACATGGATAGATTTTTTTTTTGTGAAGACAGAGGAAAGGTAGACTTTGAAATTTTGGTTTGGGGGGACCATGCGTACGTGATGAAAATTATTTTGGGCAATGAAAAGTGTATTCCGTGTGTTTGTTAAATTTTTTGGATTATGACTATTAAATATGACACATATTATTGTAAGTCATAAATCGTTCAGATTTTAAGAAATATGACATTTTTTATGACATACATTTTTTGCAAGTTATAAATTAGTGTGTGTCATCGTTCGTATGTCATTAAAGGTATATTTTCTTATAATGCAAGAAATTTAGAGTGGTTCAACTTCCTCAATGGAGTCTACATCTACTACATTAGCTTGCATACTAAGAAAATTGATACAAGAAACCAGAGAGGGGATTCCAAAACCGGGAGTGAATTTTTGGTAAATTAAGCTACTACCTCAGAGGTTTCGAAATCACCTAAGGAGAGTTTCGAAACCATACTGAAAATATTAAAAATTTAATCTTGTTTCATCTTTCAAAATTATTTTAAGACTTTGTAACTTTCCAAAACATTTATAAATTTATTTTCAACATTTTTAACTCTTGAAATATGTTATGAACTAAAATTTTAACTCTTGAAATTATTTTTGTACACTTTAAAATTTTATGAATTAAATATAATAAAATATTATTTTTACAAAAAAAATCATCTCAATACTTTATTATATCAAAGTCATTTAATCATATTTATCAATCTCTAAACTATGAGACTTATTCTAACTCAGTTCCTAAACTTTGAATATTCTAATTTCATCCTAAAACTTTTGATATTTATTAATATTAAAAATTATTAACTACTATGTACACATCGACCTGTATTGTGTCATAATATGATATGATGTAAATAATAATTAATATTATATCATGTACCCAAAATATTATATAGAATAAAATTGAAAGATTCTATAATTTTTATTTTTATTCTCTCGATTTATTAATAATTATTTCTATATTTTAAATTTAAACTATTATTTTATAATAGTTTTATTAACAATGGAGGTAATCAACATATACTAATAGTTCGAGGTAAAATTAAAATATTTATGAGTTTGAGTACCAATTTAGAATGGGGATTAGTTAGGGTATTAAAATAGAATATTCAAAACTTTAGAGATCAATTAAAATAAAAATCATAATTTGAAATGAAATTAAAATGTTCAAAACTGTGGGGACTAGTTTGAAATGAGAGTCATTGTTTGGACACGTTTAGTATAATTGACTATTAAAAATCTAAAAGGAAGCAAGGACAAAAGTGAAACGACAGCGTTTCGTACTTCCAGAAGTGTGCGTTTATGTGAAGAAAGCATCTTCTTCACCACCTCAGTTTTCCTTCTCTTTCACAAATTTTTAAATATAATTTTTTAAAAATCATTTAATTGGTTCTCTCTATTATAAACTTCGCTTTCCAATCCTTCGTTTCTTCTTCTTTACACTCTTCAAACAGATAGTAAAACTATAGCTGGAAACGAATCGATTCAATATTTTTTTCGGCAAGAACAATAATATATTTATTGTTATATTAGAGAAATTTGGAATCGTGTTGATTGATCGATCTGTCGATGGAGGATTGTTGGAGCAGCGATGAGGATTACTGCGATTCAACCGATCGAAACTCCCTCGACGGTCTCGAGAACGAGGACTCCGATTTACAGTGGGACCCTTCAAAGGTTCCCACTACCAAGGTCGATTTTCTCCCTTTCATTGTCCTCTTAGGAATTCAATTTCTTGTTTCAATTTGTCATCGATGTATCGATTCTGGGTTCTGGGTTTTTGCTTTTATCCAGTTTAAAGCTTGGGTTTTGGTTTTCGTTTTCGTTTGGTAAAAAAGATGGTTTTGGGCGTCTTGTGGATTTTCAGAGGATAGAGTAATTTGAAGGAGCTTTACGATTTCCCTTTTTCGCATGCTGATTGAGGAATTCTTTAATTTCACAAGAGGAGATGCTGATCGTTGAATTTGATCAAAATTTTCTCCATCTGATGCGTATATCGGATATCCTCTTGCGTGTGCTTTGTGCTTTTGTTAGACTATATTGCATTGTGTATATTGAACTTTCCCCCCTTCAAGAACATGGGGCGGGGGGAATTAATCTTGATGGGAAAAACCTTAAAAAGAATAACAGGTTAAATAGTTTTTTTTTTATGGATTATATTATCTTCATCAAATACTGAATTCTTAGAATGGGGGCATACTTGTGTTGCAACCCTTTGTGGTTTTATGCAGGTTATTACAAAAGAATCACTTTTAGCCGCCCAGGTAAAAAGTTATTCCCTTTCTCTTTTTGTGGTTTCCCGTGCATCTGTTTATTTTTTAGGATTGGAATTGAATTGATTGTTTTGGTAGAGGGAAGATTTGAGGAGAGTAATGGAGATGCTATCTCTTAGAGAGCACCATGCTCGGACTTTACTAATTCATTATCGATGGGATGTTGAGAAGTTGCTTGCCGTACTTGTGGAGAAGGGGGAAAGCGGACTTGTTTTCTGAAGCAGGTGTTTCTGTTTTTGAGAGTGAGGATACAGAAACACCAGATTCGTCTTCATCTACAGCAATGTGTAACATATGCATAGAGGAGTTACCTGGTGGTAAGATGACGAAAATGGACTGCAGCCATGCCTTTTGCAATGACTGTAAGAATCCTCCCTTAATTTGCAGCTTGTTCAAATTGAACCCTAGAAATGAGCGAATCAACTCTAAATTTCCTTTTCCAGGTTGGACAGAACATTTTGTTGTGAAGATAAATGATGGTCAAAGTAAGCGCATTAGGTGCATGGCACACAAGTGCAATGCTATTTGTGATGAAGCTGTTGTCAGAAATTTAGTTGGTAAAAGGCATCCTGATCTAGCGGAGAAATTTGATCGTTTTCTCCTTGAGTCATACATCGAAGATAATAGGATGGTTAAATGGTGCCCTAGTACTCCTCATTGTGGAAATGCAATACGCGTTGAGGAGGATGAATTTTGTGAGGTAGAGTGTTCTTGTGGTGTACAGTTTTGTTTTAGTTGCTTATGCGAAGCACACTCTCCATGTTCATGTACGATGTGGGAGCTTTGGATGAAGAAGTGCCGAGATGAATCAGAAACGGTCAATTGGATAACTGTTCATACAAAGCCTTGTCCAAAGTGTCACAAACCTGTGGAGAAGAATGGTGGATGTAATCTTGTGAGCTGTATCTGTGGACAAGCATTTTGGTAAGGATTTCCTTTTATGTTCACTACTGTTTGCAAATTTCTGAAAGCTGACTAAATCTTATCGTGGTGACAATTAGTAATCTAGATTCAGTGTTTGGTTCTGTTCATTTCTAATCAAAGCTTTTGAACTTGCACAAGCTGCCACATTAAGAAGAGCATAAGTGACTTGTTATCCTCCTCTTTCCTGTTTAATTTATTTATAGTTGTAGTATTTGGTTTGTTTACATGATTTATGCACTGCTAAATATGAATTACTTTATCACATTCTCTTTTTTCCAACTATGCAGTTGGCTGTGTGGTGGTGCTACTGGGCGGGACCATACTTGGTCAAGAATTGCTGGTCACAGCTGTGGTCGCTACATAGAAGACTGTGAAAAAAGTACTGAAAGAGCAAAGCGAGATCTTTATCGTTATATGCACTATCATAACTGTTATAAAGCTCATACAGATTCGTTTAAGCTTGAGAGTAAACTCAAGGAGACTATACTGGATAAGGTGTCAATATCAGAAGAGAGGGAATCGAGACTTAGAGATTTCAGCTGGGTAAATAATGGACTTCTTAGACTTTTCAGATCAAGGCGGGTTCTTTCATTTTCATACCCTTTTGTATTTTACATGTTTGGAGAAGAATTATTCAAGGATGAGATGACAGATGAGGAAAGGGAAATAAAACAGCATCTATTTGAGGATCAGCAGCAGCAGCTTGAGGCAAATGTTGAGAAACTCTCCAAGATTTTGGAAGAGCCCTTTGATCAATATACCGATGATAAAGTTATGGAGATACGGATGCTTGTAATCAATCTTTCTGTGATCATTGATAACCTTTGTAAGAAAATGTAAGTATCTTTATTACATACGAACTACTAATTGATGTTTCTGAGAGGGTTTTAAAGTCATGTGCTGAGGCTATTGCTTGCAGGTATGAATGTATTGAGAATGATTTATTGGGTTCTCTCCAACGAAATACCCATAATATAGCTCCATACAAATCCAAGGGCATTGAGAAAGCATCAGAGCTTGCTGTCTGTTGGAATAGTAAAGCCAGTACTCCTACTGGTAAATGCCTTCCCCCCGATTGTGGCACTAGTGGTATGTGCACTTATCTTTTTGGAGATCAAAACATACACGTAAAACTCATACATTTTAAAGATTTTACTAACACATTGCAATATAGGAAAACGCAACCGGTCTTTCAGCTTTGGGAGTTCAGATGACAGTGGTTGCCCATCATCGAAGCAACCTAAAAGGGAGAGTCATGGAGGTGGTTTCTTTGATCTGAACTTGCCAGCAGAAGTTCTTGACAGGAATTGATCTCTCTAATAGGATTTTCCTAGATAAGTACATATGTACAGATCTAACTGGAGACCTTTCACTTTATCTAATGGGGTTTGATGATTCTATGGATTGAGCATAGAAGCGCAAAAATTTACTTTCCCTGATTAGCATCCTTTTTGTCCATCTTTTCAATTTTATAGATTTTGGAAGATCAAGTCTGGATTTCCATAGGTTCTTTTATCTTTCAAAGGTTGTGTGAACTGAATATCCATTTAATGTAAAGAAGCCTTAGGCTTTTGAATATGCGAGTAATTTCTCAAACCTGAGATTTGAGTTGTGCAAAGTGTGCTCCTTTGAAATATTCTTCATTGCTTATCTTTGCATCTGTTGGTAACTATGGAGTTTGCTTGGATCTTTATTTAAAACCTTTTTGGAAATTCTACTTGTTGCAATCTGATCCGATCCAATCCGTCAGTCACAATTCGAGCCATGAGAATGTATGCCGGAATTGTTCTCTTTAGGATTCTCAAGGCTTTATCACCGCCGGCAATCATGGCCATATTTCTCTTTCCCGCGGACGGTGATGTCTGATATTGACACTGATAAGCTTGATCCTCCATTCGATTCTTTTGGCAGCGAGCTGGACTTGAGCCTTCTGAAACTCTGAGAATGTTCGAAGCAAGCAACTCATTTTAGTAATCGTCATATAGTTGAATGCTATAATTTTGATTAAAATTCCAATTTAAACTGGTCAATCAATCATAGACGCTTGGCTTGGCAACATTCTCGACAACCAAACTTCAGGATTGCTATTTAATTCTTTTTCTCTTTAATATTATTCTCCATTTGTGGTATATATCCCAAACATGATGAAAAGCTAACTTTCCGGATTAATGTACGTGATTCTCTGGTGATGCATGTAATGTTCTCCATTTTCAATCTTCATTGGTGATGCATGTAATGTTCTCCCTTTTCAATCTTCATTGTTTTCCATTTTCGAGTAAGAAAAAAATCATCTTCATTGCTTTTGGTTTTCGAGTAAGAAAAATATTATTCTGTAATGGTTCGAAAAATTTAATGACTGTTATATAATTTTTGAAAATTTAATGACTAAAAATCATTTGAGTATAATTTAAGGACCTCTAGTTTAATTTACACTAAAAGATAATTAGAGGTCAAACTAACCCTTCCTCATACACAACTTGTCAACATTGTTGATTGATTTTCTAAAGAAAGATACAATTTTACAACACTTATCTGAAGGTCAAAGCCGACCAAAACACAATGTTCTGCTAATCCATGGTATTTGGCAAGCCCCTGGTTTTGGCTGAAGATATCTTATGGTGACCAGCAAAAGAGTTGGCTCCTCGGGGCCTGGAAGAGTTAATATTCATCTTTACAGGGATTGGTATATAAATGCTGCAAAGATTACAATTCTGGAAACCAAGATACCTACTAAAATCCCGGAGTTATTTGAACAACAATGGCTGCCTGTGAAGGAAAAGTTTTTACCGAAGAGCAAGAAGCTTTGGTGGTCAAGTCATGGACTGCAATGAAGAAGAACTCGGCTGAATTGGGTCTCAAATTCTTCTTGAAGTAAGCATTTTTTTCAGTTCTTTTGTTTTTGTCAATGATCCAAACATTCAGTTCATTGAACTATGTTTAAATAATCGTTTTGGTCACTAAATTTTCATAAAATGGGACAGGATTTTTGAGATTGCACCATCAGCCACAAAACTGTTTTCATTCTTGAGAGACTCGAATGTTCCATTGGAGCAAAACACAAAGCTCAAGCCCCATGCAATGTCTGTCTTTGTTATGGTACGTAAAGCCTTCTGCATATAAAGTTTTGGTCCCTATACAATGCTAGAACATACTTGATCCTTGCAAACATACATGAATGAACTGTTTTATATATTTCTCTTTGTATTTTCTATCGGATAATATTCGTTCCTAACATAAAGTTCCTCGTTCGTCGTGTAGACATGTGAATCTGCGGTTCAGCTACGCAAAGCCGGCAAAGTTACAGTGAGGGAGACGACTCTGAAGAAACTAGGGTCCACCCACTTCAAGTATGGTGTAGTTGCAGAACATTTTGAGGTGACAAAGTTTGCTCTGATGGAGACCATAAAGGAAGCAGTTCCAGAAATGTGGTCAGCTGAGATGAAGAGTGCATGGGGTGAAGCTTATGATCGTCTGGTTGCAGCCATCAGGGCTGAGATGGTGGCCTGCTCTCAGGCTTGAAGTGCTTCCTAATTTGGGTTCAATGAGAGTCGAAGGTTCAATCATTTGATGCTGCGAGTGATTGCTCATACTTTCTGGGTTTTGTTGCTTCTTTGCTTGTGTGTTTGCATTTGTCTTTTGTTGGCTTATGTAGTTTCTTAGATGAACAATTAATATGATAAGGGACCCATCCCATTTGATTGAGTCAAAATGTTGAAAAATAACTCATAGATTTTGGGAGGAAATAATCACAAACTGACAATTCGAGCTCTCTCTCTCTACCTTTTTTTTTCTCTTAAACCCCTCTACCCTACCTAAGGGTACTGGGTCGGATCAAAGGCTCAATCAACTTGTCTCTCAAAAGATATTAAAATATATGGTAAACTACGCATTTAGTACCAAAACTATTAATTTTGATCCATTTTAATGCTTAACTTTTATTTATTTAAAATCATTCATAACATTTAGTTTTTGTTTCATTTTAGTATCCACCACTAAAAACTAAACGCATTTAATACCTAGACTATCAGTTTTGGTTAGCTGTAGTACCTGAACTTTTTTTTTTTAAAAAAATTAATGTTAAATTTTGAAAAAGATACTAAAATGAAAAAAAAAACTAAAGTTTATATATAATTTTAAAAAAATTAAAACTTTGGTACTAAAACATACCAAAACTAATAGTTTAAGTACTAACCACATAGTTTACCCTAAAATGTATTGAAATTATCCTCTTATTTATTGATTTGATTTCAAAAGTTTAGAGTATATGAAATAATTCAAATAATGAAATAAGTCGTAATACAAACACATATCAAAGCCAAAATCAAAATTCAATGTCCCAAAATTTCATAAATAATAAACAATACTCAAATAAAAAATACAAATAAAATTGAAATAAGAAATCCGAGTAAAACTTCGTACTATAAGTAATAGCTTAATTTAAAAAATGGTGTAATTTTCCAAGTATCCGGTCACCTATAACCAAGAATCTAAAATCTGAAAGAGAAACTAAAAGGGTGTGTAGACTAGAAAAGTACAACAGTCACAAAATAAAACACAAACCGATTCAAACAAAAATATTTAGTCTCAATAATATGCAAATGAATATACACCTATACGTCTTTCAAAGAGTAGATTTTCAAAAACTATTCTCTACTAACATCATCCGAAGTAGGATCCACCACGAAAATAAGAACCCACTGAATTTAAAGTGAAATTCACCCCCATCATATTAATACACACTGAATCTCTCTATCAATCATAACCTAGTACGACATGATATCATATATATATATATATATATCTCGAATTTTCAATTTAATTTGAATGTAGAAACTTTTGTATAGTTTTAAAGTTTGAATGCATAACATAAAGTCAGAAGCGGATGATTAACATGAGCCACATAACATATTTATTCGAATTACAATTAATATAATAATTTTATAGAACAATCATGCTTCAATTCAATTTTAATCGGAGCCGTCAATAACACAAAATAAATGTAGCACCAGAGAGAAGTACGCATTGACAAAATAACTAACAAAGATCGTGACGTTTCTCACGATCAACCCGAACAACAGATTGAACCGAATTAGTTCCTATGAAATAATTTAATATTGTAAATAACGTCAACACCATCTTATTAAAAATGTCAACTAATATTTACGGCTAACACGAATAACATGGATCGGTTCGAAACAGGTAGCGACGAAAGAAATAATTGCAGCTTCCGATTAAAATCCCAATATATCAATCTTCAGATTAAAGAAATAATTTTAACGACGATAAGAATGAGAATTGGCAGCAGGGTTTGATTCGAATAGGGAGCTGTCAGTACGGATAAACTGGCTACGAAAGCACATCGACAACAGTCCCTAGGGCCGGAGACCTCACAGCCGGGGGTTTATTTTCAAAATAGCAGCACGGCCCAATGGCGACAGCAAGGGATAGGGTTCCGACGGGGATCTAAGACGATGACCAGCGACACCACCTACCTTAGTTTGGCGAGATCGGCGACGACGTGGGCGGGTAGCAGCGTGGAAGTAAGGAAAATGAAAAAGATGGGGGGCCGTTCGTGATATAACACGGATGTGAGGGTTCAACTAAAATTAAAATTGGGTTAACTAAAAAGTTGGTCCTCTGATTATATAGAATTTACAAAATAGCAGTATTCTTTATGTTTCTTATGATTTGGTCATCATTCACAAATTAAGGAATTAGAGATAAAATTATCAAATTTTAGGGTTTCAAATTGGGGCAAATTTGGGGTGTTACAGTTAGGGGTGATAAAAAAATTCGATCCAACCTATCCAATCCATTGATCTGTTAATCCGATCCGAAAATTCGGATATCCGATCTATTTTTTAATTTTCGGATAGTTTAGATTGGATATCAGAAAAAAAATCGAATAATCAAATCAGATTCGGATCAATGAAATTTCAGTTTCAGATTATCTAGAAATCCGGAAAAAAAAAATTGGACCTTTAGATGATTTTATTCAGGCCGAATAATTTCATCCCCGGCCCAGCATCCCAGCACCCCTATGCCCCGACAGGCTAACACCCCCACGCCTTTGCAGTCTGAAAATGCATCCCCTAGTTATAGTCTCCTACCTCAATACTCTTAGGATCATTATAGGTCGTGTTAGATCAGATTTTTGATTCATCCGAACTCAATTTGAATATATATCTCTTCATCCTCACCTGAACTAACTCGGATTTAAGAAAGTTTCACCATAGCCGATATACAATTCAACTTTTAAGGTAAAAATTTGTATCCAATTCGACCAATACAAGTAAATTTCATTTTAAGTAAAATAAGAATCTAATTGAAACTGATATAGATGAGAGGTATCATAGTTTGGTGCGGGTGCAAATTTGTACCTAAAAAATCGGTTTAGATTTTGATTCGAGTGAAATCTACCTAAATTCTAATCAGATCAAGTACAAATGAAAAAAATATATATAATACTCAGATCAAACTCGAGTAAAAAATTATTTAATTTAACTCATAATTATCTCTAATTTTGATCTTATCTTTTTCAAGTTCTCTCTTCAGTTGTCCCCATGACATCAATGTTCACATGTAACATGTTGGAAATTAAGGTGAGTCCAAATATTATATGTGTAGTGCAGCTACCTGCTGAATCCAGAGAAAGATTGCATCAGGCATAAAATATTCAAGTGGTATTCATCATAACCAACTACCAATTTCAAAATAAAACAGTATTGTATTATATTATAAAAATGGTGATTTTGTCAAATATAATTGAATAAATACATTGCACAATTGATCTTTTGGCTTTTATAATACAGAAAAGATAATGATTTGGAAATATAATACAAAGCAGTTGCTTCTGCAAGATATATCGCCCCTTTATAATATCATTCTTGTTTTTTTTCGTCAGTTTAACGACCAAGCTTATGGCTAAGATGGCAGAATGACCAAATCGATAAAATATTAGTTCTTTGAGGGCAGAATTAGAACTTTTTGAAGTTCGGGTACTAGTTTAAAATCCGATCCAAAATCCAAATACTAACAGAGAGCAGGTAAATGTATATTCATGTAGTTATGACTGGTTTCATTTGAATAAAAGGCCAACAACCATATGACCACAGAAATAAACATATGTGATTACACTTCGCCTCGTACTAAATCGGAAAAGGAAACCGGAACTCGCAATCTCTTTCGTGTTCCAAATAAATTCCCGGCTTGTAAATCCACTGCATCATATTAGGAGAAAAATCAGCAACAAACAATGCAAAACAAATTTTTCGAGTAACATCGACGAGGTACACATGCTAAGGGCTTCAACAATGATTCATCATCTAAAAGATAATCTTATGCAATGATCGCTGTAAAAGTGAAATATCGGTATTCTATTTCGATTGCAAACATACAGGCATGCAAATCTAAACAACCGAACTGCAAATCTAAACAACCGAACGCGGAGTGACTAATTTAGATAACGATATCATTTATTTGGAAGAAAATATAAAAAATACCTACCCATGAAAATGGGGATTTGCTTAGAGCTATGCCTATGCAGGTTTAGCATAATAACCAGTAGTCATACTACTTGGCAAGGGAAAGGCATCACTGCACACTCATGTAAATGGATACAAAGAATGGCTCTCATAGCTATCATAACACACTCAACTCGCAACAAGACAGTAATGGAAACTTTTAAGGAAGTTAAAAGGATCAGTGTACCCAGAAAATGGTTGTGATAAAAGAAAATCACCCAAGCCAATGAATATACTCCAAAACTTTAACAAAGATGACAAACGGGAAATCAAAAGGGCTCTCGGAAGGTAATCGTAACCGCCTATAGGACAAGGCATCCTGGTCCAGCTTCGTATGCAGGGACTGAACCACGTAGGGGTTTGTAACGAGACAGTAAAGGCACCAATGCACACTTATGTAAATGGATGAAAAGAATGGCTTTCATAGCTATCATAACACACTCAACTAGCAACGAGACAGTAATGGCAACATTCAAGGAAGTAAAACGGATCAGTGTACCACGAAAACCGCTTTGATAAAAGAAAAGCATCCCAAGCCAATGAATATACACCAAAACTTCAACAAGGATGACAATCAGGAAATCGGAAGTGCCCTCAGAAAGGCAATCGTAGTTCACCTATAGGACAAGCCATCCCCTGCCAAAACCTTAACAAATATGACATTTTTAGGTTCAAATACTTAATAGGTCTAGAAGTTAAGCAATTCAGTCCCTGCTAAAGTTAGATCCTAGAATAACGATCCAGAATTTCATTGCCTTCCTGTGTATACCCATTTGGAGAACTTCCATTTACAACAATAATTCGTCTGTAAATACCCACATAGAAAACAATACCCTATCCCCAGAATTTGTCTTCTTCTTGATTTCAGGGTACAATAAAGTTGAAGTCGTTGAATTTACCTGAATCTAGAACTCAAGCTTGAGCTCATCCTTTTCATCAGCGAGGTAATGGAGAACGTAAGGGGTGACACGAACCACGGTCATCCAGACCCTAAACATAGCCACGTGTGCCTTCAGTTGTTTCAAGGCCGCCGCCTTGTCTGGTTTGCGCATAAACATGCCTGGGAACATCGCTGCTTCTGTTTGAGTTGTGTTGTGCTTTTCGATTGGAGTGGTCGATGGAGAGAGATAGAGATAGAGATAGAGAGCCTCAAACCCTAGCCGCGTTGGGGTTTTAATGCTACGGAGAGGAAGCTTTTCAATGTATTTGTTGCCTAATCTTTCTCTAATTGGTACCTAACTTTGGAAAAAATATCAAACTGGTACATGGTGCTAATTTGATATTCCAACAACCAATTAGTTAGGCACCAATTTATGTAATAAGCCTATTTTTATACTTAAGTTAGTATACATTTTGATATCTAAATTTGACTATAAAGTTCAATTTGATACCCAAGATTAACTTTAAAGTTCAAGTTGATACTTAAATTTATTTTTCAATTAGGAACTTGAATTTAATTTGTAGGTTAATAACTTCTTCGTTTACATTAGTTAAAAATTGAAAGTACCTATTTGAATGAAAAGGTTCAATTCATATTCCAATTTGACCCAAGAAATTAAAAATTAAATTAAAATATCAATTTGAACCAAAAAGAAAATCAACTTATGATGCCTAATTGAACAAAAGTGTTCAATGCTCTTGTAAGTAAAGTCTCGAAATTTTGAACCTCCAAGAACCAATCCATTAATTATAGTGTAATATACAAGGAAACATTACAAATAAAATCAAGAGAACTGCTGATTTATGAACCTACAGGACTTCGATGATCAAAGCCCAAGCAGGATAGACCAAAAGGAGGACAATGCCGATCGTGTTTGACATCCCGTGCGCTTTAGTGAACGAATTCCGAAACCCACCCGATGCCTGATGTGTTCTTGAAGAAGGTAACAAGCAATGGCAAGGCATACCAACACACCAACCAAGCTGTTTCTTAGTGTGCTCGAGAATAAGCTCGGAGCCACCACGATGAGAAGAATCAAAGCGGCCGGTAATTCCAGCCAATCTGCAGTTTCAGATTGAAGTCGTCAACTCACCAACCACTTCAATGCATAACTTTCAAATATTACAAGGCAAAACAAGTATCGGTCCCCAGCGTGTTTATCGGCCAAGCCTAGGTTCAAGGAAAGCCTTCGACGCCCACAAGGTCGTAAAGACCCAGCTTGTCTGGTTGTCAGCTGGGAAGTTGGGTCATTTAGCACGGCAAGTAACTATCAAAACCAGACAACCTTGCCGAGAAGTACCTTGAGCTTGAACAACTTATGCTATGGCCAGATAACCCCGATCACTAAACAGATCAAGTAGGCTAGTGCACTAGCATGGCCAAACATAGTGAAACAAGCAGATATCACATCGTAAAACAAGCATCATACCTGGAAACGTCTAGGGAAGAACAAGCGTAAAACACTGCAA